AGCTAAATTTGCAAACAGATTTATATAATAACCTTCCTTTCTGCAGACCGCCACACACATTTAGTCCCAATCAAACTTGAACTGAAGCAAAGACCGTCTAACTTGAACTATTTAACTAACTTTAGCGTTTTATTTACCTAAGCATATTAATGTACGGCAATCAAGCATGTACATAATTTATCACCTTATTTCTACTTTTATGTTTACAGCTTACCTAGCCTTTATTAGCCAATCAGCATATACCTAGCATATCCATTATTTCTTTTGAAATTCTTGTAATTTTTGCTTAGCTTGTTCGGCCATTGATTGATCACCAAAGATTCCAGCTCGCTGCCACGGCAGTGCACACTGAAGCTGCTCCTCCTTCCCTACCATGAAAAAGTTGTTGTCAGGAATCTGGTCTTCGAACCTTTTCCTCCTCAGGTCCTATGCCACCTCTTGTACGTTCCCGTACGTCCTCGGACCAGAGTCTGGGTGGATTCTCATCTTGGCCAGGGGCGTCTGGAAGTAAAAACCTCTTTCTTTCAAGACTTTGTTTATTCTGATATATTCTTTACGTTTCTAGTTTACTTCTGTGGCATAGTCATGATCGAAAGACAGCGTTCATCCCTGGTACTGCATTGTTTTCTGCCAGGCTTTCTTCAAAACCATCTCCTTCACCTTGTACTGGAGTAAGTTCACAACAGTAGATCTTGGGGTTGGTCTGGGCTTGGCTTCGGGGCTAATGCTCTGTGTGCCTGCTGGATTTGCAGATCAATTTTGGCGGGTATGGAGAGCTCAGTTCTCAATAGCTGCTCAACGAACTGAGGCATATAACTACCCTCTACATTCTCTGCTAGGCCAAAAATGCAAATATTGTTGCATCTGCTTCTACCCTCTTGGTCTATCGTTCTAATGGTCCTTTTTCAGCAGGGTTAAGTTACTTTGTATTGAATTTAGACGACGACAACAGAAATCAAAACAACAGAGCTGAACAGAAAAGACAGCAAAATAATGGTGAATGTACAAAGCTAATGTTGAGTTTTTATTCGCCAGCTTCTTATCTGAATTTTCCGTTCCACCTTAAGTTGTGCAGCTGTTACATTCTGGTGCGTAACTGCTGCACCCTATAAGGCGCAAATTCAAATATGAAGCTGCCGCATAAAAAGTCAGCTTCAGCTTTGTGGTAATTTATTTATTTATTTTTTTTAAATGATCAGTTCACCTGGCAAGTTTATCCAGTAAGAGTTTAAGAGCTGAGGGAGGGCTTACTGATGTTGTTGATGCTTTACTTGTTTCTAGCTTATAGAGACTAACTTGAACTTTAACACTTCTCTTGTCTTCTGAAATAAAATAAGCCAAGCATAAGCACAATAATAGATATTTGCCTATGGCTTTTGCACCACTGAATTCTCAAATGTGGCTTTGTAATGAGGGGTTAATGATACTACTACAGTACCCCTTTATGTTGTATACAAAAATTATTTTGTTAATTTTTCTAAGTGACAAGTTAACACGTTACATGTGACATGATTTTTCAGCAAATTTTTGTATAATGTATATTTGGTGATTTTAACACATTGGAAAAGGAGGACATACTTATTTTCACTTTAAAAATCAACAAAACAAGTCATTTGACCAGGCACATCCAGACTTTTGCATATGTAAGGCTGCGTAGGTTACACTTTTTGGGCAATGTCCCGCTCCCAGGCTTCGCTATTGACTGTGACTGTGTGTATCCTCGTGTCAGTAGATCAGTGGTCCGTGTGGTTAGAGAGAGTGATTATATTGGTAGGTTTTCATTTATCAGCCCTCTCTCGTTGCTTCAAATGGCTTAATCTTATCTCATAATTTCAGAAGAGGTTAACTCAGGGAAAAGGGGAAAGACTCAAGCCTAGGATAATATTCGGTTATTTTGATTTAATCTAAAACTTTGTTTTGTCTGTGCATCTAGCTTTATTTTCTTTACTGTCCTTCTCACTGCCTCCCTTCCCCCTTTACAAAAGAAGCAAAGGGCAGACTGGCTCTTCTCGGTCTTACATAACTCTTCTCAGAATAGTTATATAAGTGTAGGAAGCTGTAAGTAGGCCAGGCCTAAGTGGCCTAGTTGTCCATGAATGGGCAATGAAGAGGTTAGTTGGAGATTCTCTCAAATGCTGCCTTTTTTCCCCCCAAAACAAAGACTGATTTATTTGCTATGCATCCTTTTTTGAACAATTAAGTGCTGTTGATGCATCATAGAAAGATAATTCATAAGTGTTTCCAGTCACTGTTGCTGTTTGTCTGCATTTGCCCTCAGTTCCCTGCTTATTTGCAAAGCAACGAGAAGGAGATATTACCACAAAAGGTCAAGTCAAGTCAAATTTATTTGAATAGCACTTTTTACAACTGATGTTGTCACAAAGCAGCTTCACAGAAATCCATTAGACTTTTAACATGTTTTAACATGAAATGTAAATCCTCCAAGTGAGCAAGCCAAGGGTGACAGTGGCAAGGAAAAACTCCCTCAGAGCTGGGGAAGAAACCTTGGGAGGAACCAAGGCTCACAAGGGGGGACCCATCCTCCTCTGGTCAAACTACCTACAAAATTATTATACTACTAATATTAATACTAGATTTGAAGATTGTGACTGAGTCTGAGTCCCGAACATTTTCTGGAAGATCATTCCAGAGTTTGGGGGCTTTGTAAGAAAAGGCTCTTCCCCCAGCTGAAACCTTCTGAATTCTGGGAACTATTAAAAAGCCAGCACTCTGTGATCTAAGTAATCGTGGTGGCTCGTAATGGAAAATAAGCTCTTGCAGGTACTCAGGAGTGAGCCCATGTAGGGCTTTATATGTCAATAAAAGAATTTTGTAATCAATACGGAATTTAACATGCAGCCAATGAAGTGATGATAGAACTGGACTGATATGATCAAATTTTCTAGTTTTAGTGAGGACCCTGGCTGCAGCATTTTGAACTAGTTGAAGTTTACTTAAATTCCTGCTGGTGCATCCTGACAGTACTATGTTACAATAGTCTAGCCTTGAAGTAATGAAGGCATGTACTAATGTTTCTGCATCATGCAGCGATAAGGCGTTTCTTATTTTGGCGATGTTGCGAAGATGTAAAAAAGCTGTCCTAGTGATACTGCCTATGTGTTGATCAAATGATAAATCTGGATCAATCATGACGCCAAGATGTTTTGCTGCTGAACCAGGTATAACTGGAAAGTCAGCAACATTTAAAATTAAATCTGATAATTTATTTCTTGCCACTTTTGGACCCAGAAGGAGAACCTCTGTTTTGTTACTGTTTAGAAGGAGAAAGTTACGCAACATCCAGCCTTTCACGTCTTTTACACAGTCCTCTATTTTCTTTAACCTGTATTTGTCATCAGGCTTGGCTGATATGTGCAATTGCGTGTCGTCTGCGTAACAGTGAAAGTTAATGCCATGGTTACTTATAACTGTGCCTAACGATAACATGTATAATGTAAACAATAGTGGTCCTAAAATAGAGCCTTGCGGAATTCCAAATCTTACTTTTGAATAATTGGAAGATACATCGTTTACCTTTACGAACTGATAATGTTCCATTAAGTAAGATTTGAACCACGATAGGGCTGTCCCTGTGATTCCAACCATGTTTTCTAACCTTTCTAGGAGAATATTGTGGTCTATCGTATCGAAAGCTGCACTGAGGTCAAGTAGCACCAACAGGGATATGTAGCCTTGATCAGAGGCAAGAAGAAGATCATTTGTTATCTTAACTAAAGCTGTCTCAGTGCTGTGATGTGGCCTGAATCCAGATTGGAATTTTTCATATATGTGGTTCTTATGTAGATATGAACAAAGTTGTTGGGCTACAGCTTTTTCTAAGATATTAGATATAAATGGTAGGTTAGAAATAGGCCTGTAATTAGACAATACGCTAGCATAGATCAGAGGTTTAATAACTGCTAGTTTTAATTTTTTTTTTTTTTTTTAATTTTTACCCGATTTTCTCCCCAATTTAGTCGTCTCCAATTCCACCCGCTAGTTAGGACTCCCCCAATCACACGATGCTATCAACGCTAGGAGGGTGAAGGCTAACACAGGCTTCCTCCGAGACCTGTGAAGCCAACCACCGCTTCTTTTCGAGCTGCCGCTCACGCAACGTCACTGGACAGCCGAACGCGCTCGGAGGAAAGCGCCAACCGCCAGTTCTGTTACGTCAGCTAACAGACGCCTGCGCTGACTAGCATCGCGCTGAGTGATGGGGGGAGAGGGAGGGGCCATCCTACCCACCCAGAGAGAGCGAGGCCAATTGTGCTCTCTTGGACTCCCGGCTACGGATGGCTGTAGCATCACTAGGGATCGAACTCGCGATCTCTTGATGATAGGGCCAACACTTAGACTGTTGCGCCACTCGAGAGCCCCAATAACTGCTAGTTTAAAAGCTTTGGGTACATGGCCCAGGCTAAGGGACGAGTTTGCTATAGTTAAAAGAGGATTAATGATAACTGGTAGTACTTCTTTGAGTAATTTTGAGGGAATTGCATCAAGTGTGCAGGTTGTACAATTTGCAGAGGAGATAATCTTCTCTAGTTCTACCTGTGGGAGTGGGTAGAAAGTTTCCAGCCTTTCTTCTGCAACTGCGTTATGTTTTATATCAGCCACATCAGATGACAGCCAAATTGGATTTAATACTGTGGGTTGAATTTGTTGTCTAATATTTTCGATTTTAGTATTAAAAAAGTCCATAAAAACTTCACTGGTGTATGTGAACTACGTCTGATTTCTAATTATGTATTTATACAAGCCAGTGCTTTAAATATTTGTACCTTTAAATTTCCCTTAAAAATTGCATTTTTGACCCGACTATGTGTAGTTTTTCCATCATATATGTATATGTGTGTATATATATATGTATATATGTATATGTGTGTGTATATATATACATATATATATATATGTATGTATGAGTGTGTGTGTGTGTGTGTGTGTGTGTGTAATCCCCACCATTTTATCACATTCATCAAAGTTTGCTCATCCAACAGGCTGACTACAAACATGACACAGAGCTCATAGCACATCTACAAAAGGAAGATGTCGTAGGTTGCAAGGATGACAGCAGAGTACCAAAAAAAACAAGAGGAAAAGCTCCTCAGCAGAAAAGATCTAAAGCCACATTTTTGGGTCAAGACTTTAGGACTCCTATTTCAACAGCTAAGATGGAAACAAAAGAAGTAATAGATGAAGAGGAGAGTAAAACACACACTACTTTGTCTGCTTCATTGACTTCAATAAAACGCAAAGTCTCTTCTGACAATGGCTTTGACATCATTCAAGGCAAAGAAGGTCTCAATGCTTTCCAATGCTCCTATGACAGCTCTGCAGCTGATATGAATGTTGCAAATGGTATAAGCGGGCATTCGAAGGTTAAACTGCCAGCACAAGAAGAGCAGCTACAGAATTGCTCTGGAGATTCACAGGGTGAAAGTATTGAAACAAAGCCTGATCCACCCTGTAATCTGCATTCAGAATGCTCATCTCTTGAGGACATGTTCTATCTACCAAAGTGGAATGTCTACCCAACACTGCACCATCTGAAACAATATTCAGCAGCCTTAAGAATAATTCTATCCAATGTCAAAAAATTCCTTTCTACACCTCCACCAGGGATCTTTGGCCTAACTTGCTTATTTAACAATCAACCTGCTGGCCTTGGTGAACCAAAGGACACTTGCTATGATCCAGTAGAAGAGATTGATCAATTCCAGGACTTCAATATTGAAGCAGATCAGAATTATGTGCATAGTGACTTTGTGAAGTCTAACATGGCAGCTGACCTTCCTGAACCATCTGATGCTCCAGAAATTAATCTAAAACTTGCACTGTTGCCTGGTAACAGGCTTTCTTATGGTCCAGCCAAAATGCCCAACAGCCCTAGCTGGGATGTGCTTTTTGATGATGGTCTGGATGGCAAAGAGGCATATAAGAAGACTGATGTGCTTTTAGAATCTAAAAAGCATGTGGAGTTTACTGACTTAGATGTGAGTGTCAACCTGTTTGGGGATGATGAGGCTTTCCTACAAGTGACATTACCTGAAATTGATACGCTGAAAAAAACATCAGTAATCTCTAACAGACAGGATGTTCCACAGTGTGGACAGACCACACCTGGTGTACGGCATGCATCAAATAGTTTTAATCCTTCTTACTCTTCTGAGAGTTTAATGTTGCCCCAACCTATAGAGAAACTGGCACATCAGAAGAATTCTGAGGCCTTTGATTTGTCTCAGGACATTTTTTCAGTGAACTTTGACCTTGGGTTTTATTTGGACTCGGACGAGGAAGAAACTGCAGAACAAGGTCTTAGCATGGCCACAAGACCAATGGCTGACGGAGAATTTCCCTCACTCCCCCTGATCCAAACCAGTGAACCTACCAACTTTACTCTTGGAATTGCTTCAACTCCCAAAGTGTGCTCAATGGACAGAAAGGCAGTTTCATCCCTTATGGCCAAAACTAACCTGTCGCCCATAGTAACCGAGAGCAAGAATTTGGTGAAGTCAAATGCTTCCACCCCAACTCCTGCATTTGCCTCATCAAATTGCACAAGTCTAAAAATTTTCCCCAAAGAGTGGAGTTCTCAAGCACAGCCCTGTGGAACAGACAACACATCATTCCGACAGTCTCTGCTTCAGACCGAGAAGACTCTTAATCAAGATCCTGCTTGTTCAGGTAATTGCTGGCAAAATCATTGGTAAAACAAAATCTTATAACATTTCTTTGTAACGTAGTGTATAGGAGTTATTTAAAGTCAACACACCATTCAGCTTTATATTGTCTGCCTGTTAGTTCACGTCACTGGTTATATTAAGTATCCTATCATTTAAAAGACAAAATTTGTGTTTTCCTGTAATCTTCCATCAAAATGTAATAACTTTTGCCCACCTCTAAAACATCATCTGATTTTTGATGATGGCACTGTGCAAAAAATATTAAAAAATAATTTTAATGTTATGTTTCACTCTCCCCTCCCACACTCACCACCTATCATCAAGTAAATGATCCACCCAAATATAGTGTCTCACTCAGAAATACATCATGGTATGAAGAAAAATAAGTTATGATCCTCAGTCTGAGAAACTGGGCTAACAAGCAAAAAAAATATACAGCCTCTTGACTTTATTCACATATGGTCCACTTGATACCTGAACATAAAGATACCTTTTCCATGTAGTGTCATTTGTGTGTGGCAGTTTGTGTTTATTTTTTGTTTAGTTCTTTTTCCTTCTTCTTTAAGGAACACCAAGCAGTGACAGTGAGGACGAAGTAGTTATAAGGAAACAAGGGCATCAAGGAAAGGTCAATCCTCTGGCCTCTCCAGAGGTGAGAAGCACTACAAAGCACAGTCCTCACTGTATGTTTAGAGCATAAGCTTTCAATTAGATCAGTACCATTATAAAGACACTTGGTCATTCAACATGTAAAAAAAGGTTTATACCTCATTTCCTTCTGTTTTACATGAATGAGAGAGTCAAAAAAAGTTTACAAGCCATATTAAGTATATAGTATTAGTGGCTAGTCACATTTTTCTTTTATTTTGATGTTGCACAGTAATATAAACTGAGTTATTTGGCATTTTTGAGTTATGTGAACTTGTAGTTATTTGGAACATGTATGCAATGCATGTCTTGAAAACATCATTAGGCTAGCCAAAATTGTTTTAGGGTAGTCGGGTAAAATAGCTAATTTATAAACAGCCTATGCACAAGTCAAGTAAAAAGAAAGATCAAAGTAAGATTATAAAACAAATATTAGTGTAATTGTTTAGTTTGCTTTTATTTCCAACCAATGTGTCTTCACAGAGATATCACGTGAGCCCACTCTGTTGGCTCTGTTCACGCCCATTAAAGATTTCATCATGAAGAAAAGAGCACACACAAACATTGGCATGAATCAGTTTTTTTCATTGTGGTGATGTATATGGATCATTCTATGAAAATTGGTTCAAAGTCAGAGCTGAAAACCCATTTCAGACTGGTAACTGACTTAAGACTAAAATCCTTTTGCTTTGAGTGACCGTATAACTAATTTTTGTTTAATAAAGCACTAACAAATGGATGTGCATCACTCTTCTAAATACGGTACTTCAGTTTTCTACATGGATGAATCTAGTCTTGCTTGTAGTACTTAGTGCTTTGTATTATCATGTTTCATTAAGGTTGGCTTTATTTTCTAGTCAGAGGAGAGTGAAGCAGAGTCAGTTTATGACTTTAAGCAGACCTCCGTTACTCAGCACAAAGTGTCCCGGCCATGTAAACGTTCACATACTACGATGAAATCTAAGGTAAAGACAACTACCATGCAGATGCAGTGGCACACACTATCTGCGAGTGAATAGTGCTCCATTTTTAATTCCATGGTTATAATTTAAATAAAAGAACATGTTAATCTTGCATCATTGCCTCTCACTTCTCCCAGAAGGCGATGCACAGAGAGGGGAAACAGTTCCTGGATGAAGAGGCAGAGCTCTCTGAAGAAGGAGGCTCTGCCTCGTCAGATGAATATGATGGTGAAGAACTGGACCAGTCTTTACAAGGCTTTGTAGTAGACACCACCCAATTCTCCCAAGGCCTTAATGGTAAGGAAAAGACCTAGATAGTCCTTGTAGTATCATTATCAGCTATCAATTTGAATAGGTCATTCAGTTGATACACAGGTATTTTAAAATGGTCTGGATCTTCATAAAAGCCTGATTTTGTAAATCCTTGCAGTCTCAGTGAGGATTGAATAATTTTGGGTGCAACTGTACTTGAGATGCCAACAAGACCTTCTAAGTCAAGAATTGTGTTCAACGCATTTTGTCCTAAACACTTTTACTAACAACCCAAACTATATATAGGAATTGAGATACTGTTTAGGGATGACTGAGATGAACAAAGTTGCGAAATACAGAAATATGCCTTTGAGTCATAACTTTCTCCTTTTTTTTAAGATTCTGAGATGCATGGATTTTATCTGAAGTCTGTGAAGAGCCCTGCGATTGGAAACAAATTTAGAATGGTGTATAAGTCTAGATGCAGCAAAGACATCTTCTCACAGGTTAGTATGATAGACTTGACTTGGAAAAATACTGTACGTTAATTAAACTTGATAAACAAAAGAAGAAATAATTGAGTTATAATTGTTTTTTATTGGCCAAGTAAGATGTCACAAGGAATTTGTTTGGCAGTAGCTCTGTAACTTTAGGACAGCAAAATAGCAACTAACAAATAGTGCAATTGAGGAGTTGATCCTTGCCATCCAGGCCTATGTTAAGATTATAGAAAGTTGCTGGTCATAAAAACCGTAATGTTCTATCTATATCTATATATATATCTGTGTGTGTGTGTGTGTGTGTGTGTGTGTGTGTGTGTGTGTATATATATATATATATATATATATATATATATATATACATATATACACACACACACACACACACACACACACACACACACACACACACATATATATACATATATACATATATACACACACATATATATACATATATACACACACACTGCTGCTCCGCTGCTGCCGGAACATGTGTGTTTTAACAGACACAAATTCAATGTCCCGAAAGCCTGGGAAAGACAGCAATGTCCTGCTTCTCTTTATATTATACAGTGGACAGGAACCACATTTCCAAAAATGAAACTTGTATATTTTCAGTTCTTATGTAATTTGAACTGCTTTTTTTTCCAAAACAATTTGAAGCACCCAGCAAAAATGAGACACATTGTTTAAAGTATGTTCTCAACTACAAAAAATTGGATTTCGAAGATAAAATTACTGTTTTACCTTCTTAAAAAACTGCTTATGATCATTAACAGCTTATAATAATATGAAGATAAAAGAAATGAAAATATAAAATTAAAGATACTTTACAAGTAAACCTTTCTCCAAAAAAAAAAATAAATAAAAATAAAAACATTTGGCCAACACCTAAGGTTGATCTTAAAAAAAAAGACTCATGATGTTATATGGGTATTTGCTAGAGGTTCTTAATAACTCAGGTTTATGTAAGCAGATCAAAAGTACTCTCTCCTATATACATAGGTCCCTGAGCAAGATGAGACATATGCAGAGGACAGCTTTGTGGTCAGTGGCAGCGAACTTGAAGAGGTTGGTAGTGCTGCTGATGAGGAAGAAGAGGAGGCTGAAGTAGAGATCATGCCTGAAGACTCCTACGTAGATGGGAGGAGACTGTATGCCACACGGCACAGAATTCGACTTAGACAGACTCGGACTACAGGAGAGATGGCAGACCTCCAGACTAAGGTACCCTGGAAAACCAAACGCTCCAGGATTGTCCAAATGGAGGATTCCAGTGACAGTGAGGAGGAGGGAGAAGGAAAAAAGAGGAAGATGCTACTTGCTGAAGAGACATGTATTTCAGAGAGACCGGATGAGAAAAGTTTTAAAGCTCTGCAACTGCATTCTTTGCCTGGTTTTGAACATTCTCAAAATGTAGAGAGGAGCACAAAGCAGGTTATGCAGCAGCAAGAGGAGATGACTAGACAAAAGTTCAGGAACCAGGCACTGCTGTCTGAAAAGCTGGATTTTAAGGAGTCTCTCTCCACTTCTTTAGTTACAGCTCAGGTAGGATTACAGTAGCTCCTGTTAAGTTAAAAAAAATACTGTTGATAAAAAGCAGCAGTGAAACAACTGTAGAATTAGAATCCAAGTTGGCAAAAGAAACAAACACTACTCTCATGTCTTAAAACCCCAAGGGGAACCTAAAACTTTTCTTTCAAATTAGCTTATTGTGACTGTACAATATGCCAGTACAAAGTATGCCCTATAAATTATGTATGTATTTCATCAAAATTCTCTCCCTTTGATTTAAACTATGTAGTTGTAATCTTGTAAGCTTGCATAAGCATTAGCCTCACCAGTCACAAGGTTAATGTGGCTTGTCCTACCCACACAGTTTTACACACAGACACAGCGTGGTAGTCTACAATCTGTATATGCAAAAACTGCTTCACTTGTTTCTCACTTACGCTGCTGTATATAGTTCTGCTTTAGTGGTGTAGCAGGCTGTGAGTGTGGGATGGACGGCTGTTAGTCAAATGTGCTTATTAAATATTAGCTTCACACTCAGACAGTTCTCAAATAGATCCTATTAGCGTTTTTTAGCAGATTTACCATGTGTTTTTCATTTAAACCTTGCTGGTTGTTTAATGTAATGCTTAATTTTAATGTCATACAAATACTTTTAATATTTTACGATTTATGATGATTGTACCCAAACATCCCTTGGTGTTTTAATTCATGTTTTCAGGCAGCTGGAGCCTCTTTCTCTGTGGCTGATGGTCCTGTAGATTTTGGTGTCTCAATCATCCAAGCCCCTGCTTCTCCTCCTTGTGTAAGCATACTAGTCGACAGCCATTGCATCAGCAGTGGTGCAGAGATTGTGTCCTCCCTCCGCTTAAAGCATGGGGCAGCAGTGCAGGTCTGCTCTTTAGTCAACTGTGATTTCATTGTGAGCAACCGCATGGCAGTGGAGTGGCAGAGCGAGTCTGACATAGCCAACCCTCAAAGTCGAAAACGGCTACAGGACAGGATACAGAGCCTTCAGGCTTTGTTTGACCGGGTGTGCTTCATTGTGGAGAAAGACCGTACTAAACCTGGTAAGCTATCTTTTATTGCAGTTCATCAGAAATAACTGTTTTGAGAGATGTTTGGAAAAATTCTCTTTGATTAATGAAGAATTGCTTCATAAACCCAGCTTATGTCATTAATTTAAAGTACAATTGTATATTAAACACCATTCATTTGTTAAATTTATTTAGGTTTTTGCATTTTTATGTTTTATGCCCAGGAGAGCCACTGCGATCCTTCCAGCGCAGCCGTTACTACGACAGCACTGTAGCTGCACTGGTGAGAGCAGGAATACGACTGTTGGTCAGCCAGGGTCCAGAGGACACTGCTGCACTCTTGGCAGAATTGGCCCAGGTGGAACTGAGAAATGGGCAGGCCATCTGCGTGCCCTTGGAGGTCAAAGGTCCTCGACTACAGGCATTACAGTTTTACCTCACATTGCCCTGTGTCACCTACATTAATGCCCTGTACATGTGTCATCGCTTCAGTTCTGTCAGTCATCTGGTCAGCAGGTATAGCATACAGTATTTGTACACCTATTTTAAAGCAGCACTATGCAAGATTTTGTTAGATTTCTTAGATTTGAAAGAAGTAGCATTACCGTCTCAGAAAAAAATTAGGTCTGTACGCTGCTGCGAGTCACGCTGTAAAGCCTGAAAGAGCACTTTAAAAGTCAGAGATTGGTTGGATTTTGTGGGAATTTTTTAAAACGCCATACGTCATATGTCTTTATGTATTAACGTCACATGCGCAGGCTCAAAAGTAGGCCTGGCTGGATGTTTAGATGTCTAGATGTTTTTGACAAATGCAAAATCAACAGTACTGATGAAGATATGATGACAATAGTACCTCATTCACTGACATCCTCAGAAGACACATCCTTCATCAATTTTAGACTGAGTTCTCTTTCAGTATGCTCTCAATGCGCTCACACCAGATTCATCTACTCAGGAGGGTCCAAAGCACAACCGTCACCTCAAAATGTTCTTTCGCACGTTGCAAGCTATTACACATTTCCACCAGACAACTCTCCAAATCTTACATAGTGCAGCTTTAAATACAACACCATTACATCACTGTCTGAACAAGCCAAACTCTGTGCCTTGTGCTTTGAGTGTTCATTCTACTATGTCAGTTCTAGTCTAATTATAGTCTGTTTGGAGTAGGGTGGGGTGATAAACAATAATTATTGCGACATACCTTTCCTCGATAGAAATATAAGAAATGTTTGATAAATTTTCGATATAATAGACCATTCTCACACTACCTTCTGCTGCAAGGAAACGACTCTGCGGTCGCCACAAGAGGGCACACTTCCGAGTTTTTCAGCGTGATTTGTATATTTGCTAAAATATACTTTAGCAATGTCTGAAACGTGGAGTTATATATTCCCTTTTTGAGTGGAGCGATCGGCAATCTGTTCTCGTGTGACCAAGTGTGAGTGACAAGATAAGTGGCGTAACTGTACTGTCCTACAGCGAACTCACTTCTTTCCTAATATCCTAACAAGCTTTAGCAGCGTTAAATCACGTCTGCTCCACACAACTACAGTGAAAGAAAGAAGTGGGTTTATGCTAGTTACAGCACTGATTTAAACGAAAGTAAACTGAGGATTCTGTGTGTTGGGCAATTGAGAGTGGGAGAACGCTAGCTTTCTAGGCTAGCTGTTTTTAGCAGCTGGCTAACTTGAAGCAGCGCTCTGTCACAACACACCAAATTGTTACTGTAGATCAAACACGACAAAAAAGCACCGATTTCAGTTTAAATGTACCTAAAAAGAGGACTCTGTTTGTCTGGTGAGAGAATCCCACTGAAGTTAATGCTTTTACACAGCAAGCAATAGATATATTGCGGTTCACCCCTCAAACTCTCAAACTACTACAATAGAATAGAGAAATCCAGACATCTGCTAGCTTATGTTTGAATACTGTGATGCGCTCTGACGTGCATGTGGTAGGAGTGATGGCATTAAGGCGGTGTGATCCATCACTGACCTACCGAGCCAACTGTTGGTTGTTCGTTCTAAGCTGACGTTATACCTTGTTATAAATGTTTTTGCATTCGATTTGCCTTTTCATCTTTTTTCAAACCATGATATTTTTTTACACTACTTTCCCACTGTTTGTCGTAGGAGATTAAATACAAAATCATATTTCTATTCTGTTTCAGTTCAGTGGATGCACTGCAGGCAGGTGCGTACATAAGCCGCTCTAGAGCTGAGGAGATTTACCGCTGTCTGCACTACTCATGTGACACCACACTAATAAAAGACGTCACTTCAAAGAACAGCCTCTAAGCATCTGATGGTTCAAGAAGCTACATAATGTAGACTACATATTAGTTTTTCATTGCACCTTGTTTTGAACTATTGTGGACACAGGGAATGTTTGCCCTTCAGTCAGCTACTTTAGGATCTTTCTGTTTTAGGAGGTACTGTGTGAACGTGAGCTTACTAAGGAACAATTTGTTAGATCTGTAAATAACAATACAGAGTTTTATGAGAATATGTGGAGGTAACTGAGCAATAAAAGCAGATTTTCTAACCATGTTTTATTAAAAAAATCTCTCTCCTATCTTTTTTGACTGTGCTTTTGATAGAACAAATTTCCATAAATAGAATTTATATCTATATAACTTGCCCATCAGAAGCCAGTGGAAATTGTCATTGTAGGTAAAGTCTCTACTGGGATAATAGCCTTGGTATTGCTGCAGTGTTTGGAAAATGCTGGCTCAGAGCTACAGCGCCACCTGCTGGACAAAGTTTAATCCTTCTGTGACACCTCCAGACTTGCTTGCAAATTATAAATAAACAAAAGCACAATAGTTGCCTTAAAGATTTAATACAGTAGTTTGTAAAATACATGGGATACTTTGTGACCAACATACAGAACCTCCTTATTCTAAATGTCTGGTGTACTGTATATTTTTCCCATCTTATTCTAGCTCTATAGAAGCAGCTATGTCACTACACTCAATATTGTGTTTTGAAATTATTTTATTTTGTACATCACTCTTCTTAAATTCAAAGCCTGTGATATAAGTGAAACCTGCCAATCAAATTTCAAGAACAGGGACCACCAGTTTTATAATACACTGTAAACTGGGGGCTTCATTGTCTTTATATTGAACAGCCAGACACAGTGGTAGACTTCATCAATATTTTATTGGAAATATATAGCCAAGTGAGAACTTATGCAATGCTCTCAGCGTTTGAAGCAATCCTGCATATTCCTTGGCTAAGGGTCCCATGACGGCCAAGCCTGGCATTCACTCTGAATGACTTTGTTTACATAATTTAATTACGCAGAATTATTTAAAAACTGGTGGAGTTCCGCTTTAAATATTGGCTGATATGAAATTCTGTCTGCTGCTTCACTGTTCTCCACTCACACACTCAGACTCTACACAGGATCACGTGTAGAAGGAGAGAAAGCTTCAATTTTTCTCTGAGTGTGAAAATAGCAAAATTTACACTGCTAGTGTAAATGCTAATAGTTAATTTCTTAACTGCACACTTTAAAAAAAAATGGTTCTTCAGTAAAGAGAGTGGTTCTATTTAGAAACTTTAGTTCTATATAATGCCATCTGCATGTTTAAATGGCTCTTTGCATGGTGAAATGGTTCTTCAGCTTGATAGAGAATGTGGTGTATGCAGTTCTATACAGTACCAAAAAATGTTCTGCTATTGTTACGATGTCAAGCTTGTCAAAATATGAGAATACTTTTTGATGTGATATAGAACTATTTTCAAAAAGCAGACAGTTCTGGGCCGATTCTGGCTTACATCTGCGAGTGTTGGTTGACTTCCGAATAGATATTAGGTATGTGGGCCAGAATTGGGCCAGATGTTGGACAGCTGTGTTTGGCTTTAACCAGGGGTGTCCAATCTTATCCACAAAGGACAGGTGTGGCCGCAGCTTTTCGTTGCAACAAGGCAGGAGCTCACATGATCAGAGATTTAAAGACTGAGTCTGACTAATTAAACGAATGGTATCAGGTGTGCTCTTCTCATTTAGAACAAAAACCTGCACCCATGCCAGACCTTTTTGGATAAAATTGGACACCCCTGGTTTTAACTTGTAGATGCATGTAAGGTCCAATTCTGGCATGAAAGTTGTGGCCCAACGACATGGATGAAGGGAGAGGGCCACACCTTTATGTTGCAGCACATAAATGCTAGGTTGATTTATGCTTCAGTACTTTTGGCCCTAGTCTGGCATGTCATAAATGGCCCATTACCAAAGTTACAGAAAACAGCCAATGCTCGCCCAAGTTCATACTTTTAAATGGGCAAGCCAGCAGCTATGTTTGAAGAGAAGACAAATGAAAGATAGGTAAGCAATATACTTGAAAAAATACATTTACATACATTAACATTATTTGTGATGTGTACATTTAGTTCAATGAGATTGACTATTCAAAAGTCTAGGGTTAAGACCAATAGACCTATACCAGATTGGTATAGACCAGTACATTATCAGACACCATATAAGAATATATGAACAGTACAGGAGGATGCATACATACACACATACAAGAGGAAAGCCAGTTAATCAAGTGTCTCTCTATAAAGCTGGTCACAGAAATTCAAAAATCTATTACTTTTCTTAGTTTCTACAAGATGTAAGGACTGGAGTAGTGATTAAAATTCCACTTCCACTACTTAAGAGGCTTGTTAGTAAAGTTACAAATAATATCTTTGAGATTAAAGGAATAGGTCATTTTGACAGGGTTAAAAATGTGAGCACATAGGTTGGACCAGAAGTCATTTGTTCTCTCACACTGAAAGAATAGGTGAGTCAAAGTTTCATCAGCAGATCCACAGAAGGAGCAAAAGCTATTGATGTCAACAAATTGGGTAAGAACAGAATTCACAGGGTATATTTTATGTAAAATTTTAAAGTGAAGTTCTTTGATCTTATTGGACATACAGTATTAATGAGGCAAAAGCCATGCCCTTTTCCAATTGATATCCTCAACAAAGGACATCAAATAGAACTTACCCCTAGGGGAAATTTTGTTTCTTTGTTGAAGAACATATTGAATATGTTATCACGTTTTTTTTCCAGGTATATTTATAACACCCAAAGGCAAAGAGGGTAGCGTAATTTCAGTATTACTAAAACTTAAATGACTTTTTACAAGATGAATGAGGCCATCAGGAATAGCTCTAATTAAGGCATTATATTCTTTAAAGGGGACTGGGAAGCCATGTGTAGCCATAAATTGATGCTAAGAGAGCACATTTCCAGAATTGTCAAATAAAGAAAGAATATTATTAATATTTCTTTGAAACCATTTGGAAAAGAACAAGGACTTATTCCTAATAGTTATTTCAGAGTTGTTCCATGAAAGGGTTCTATGTGGGGAGAAATTGTGCACAAAGCACAACTTCCAAGCAAGAAGAGCCTGCTGATGAAACTTAGAGAGAGAAACTGGGAGCTTATTTGGCAAATAATTACATTTCAAAAGAAAAGCCTCCAGTCTTGTTAAAAATATGATTGGGGATGAAAAACTACACTGAATTTGAATTTAGGAGACACCTTCGGAGCCAGTTAATTCTAAGGGTATTAATAGTATCAATAAAATCTAATACTTCCAAACCACCTTCTGCTCTACTGTTGGACATCACATTTTTTTAAGCTTGTGTGATTTATTTTTCCAGATAAAGTCCAAAAATATTTTATTGATCTCATAAGCAAACAAGACAAGACGCGACAGAAGCCGAAAATGACGAGAAACTACACATACCTTTAATTTAGTGTTTTCAAACTCCAGGCCTTAAGCCCCTGCACTATATAGTTTAGTGCCGCTGTACAGACCTCGTCCAGCACAAGAAGGGATTAAGTAGCTAATAAAATGAGATATTTCATCCAGGGAAACCACAATTCCGCAGCGCAGGGGTTGCAGGACTGGAGCTGGGGAACTCTGAACTAACTGCATAAGCAAACTACTAAGACACAAAAAACAGCTGAGTGCTGAGTGACGCAATGTAATTAGGCCACTGATGTCTGGCCAAAAATGTGCTCCACAGTCCATAATCAAACGCATGTCAGTGTTTTATTGCTTGTCTTTCGGTATTTACAGCAGCCCGCAGTGCAGGAACAAGCGCTGCAAAACGTCTGGTCAATAAAGCAAACACTCACGTGTGTGATCGTTTGTAAAGAGTGAAATTTTAAAGCAGCAGATTGCGCAGGCTGTAACTTACAGAGAAAATGTTCAGTGGAAAACAACGCGCTCTGGTGTTGAATTCCCTCGTGAATGAGCGCGCTTCAGTTGTTTGGTGCTGCCTGCATTCTGGTGGAGTTTCGCACGTCAAAACCAAACTAAAGAAAACGTTGGACAGGTTCACGCCATCCAAGGCAGATCTGAAAACGCCTCCCAGATTAAATGGAGGTTCTGAATGGCTCTGCCGTTCAGTTTCACTCTGCCTGTTCGTACTTATCAGCGCTTCATGCAGTTTAGGAAAGGCGGAGTTTTTTTTTATAATGGAGGACTAAAAAATGACATAAGTATAAATAAATAAATGAACAAATAAATAATTTAATATATAAATAAATAAATGAATAAATACTTTTTTTCATGAAAAAGGGCATACTTAAATAAATGTCTTGAATTTCTTTCTACATTTCCATTCATCACCTTTTATTTGGGCTATTTCTGCATTTATGCATGTATTTATTTGTTTCTTCATTTATTTATTTCTATAGTTCCACATTTCTGCATTTTTTTTATTTCTGTATTTCCACATTTTTTCATTTATTTATTTATATATTTCCACATTCCGACATTTATTTATTTCTGTATTTCTGTATCTGTATGTTAATAAGGCAGGCGGTCCTAACCTCACTCTACAACAGGATTGTTAAAGAGGTGAGATCGGTTCGGCTCTGCTACTACTGCCTTGGCCTACCTACCTCCACCAGCTTCACGGAGGCCCTTGGCCTCCAGTGGCTTCTTTCTGGTACATTGTAGCGTTGCCCGGATTGCCCTTAGCTAGACAAGCCACTTAGCTAAGTTGTAGGCATTCGTTAGTTTTGTGTAGTCCCGTGTTGCTAATGGCGTTTTGTTTTTTTTTTATTAGCGAATGATTTTGAGAACCACGCACCAAATAACTACCTTCTGTTTCGTCCGGAAAGATTAATGGATGGTTTGGTTCAGCTCAGTGCTGATATAGATGTGAACCTTGACCTAACTGCGTCTTCAAGAAGTCGCCCACCAACTTCATCTCTCAGAGACGGAGGAAGCGACAGTTGGACGTCCATCCTACATTTTACCTCCAACTGTAATCGAGGCTCACCTTCTTTTGGGCCACACCGCTGGACACATAGCACAGCTGTTCAGAGTGTGCGAGAGAACAGTTCGCCGGAGGATGGCAAGGTATGGGATAAGGTAATTAACACCCAACAGCTTTTTCCAGTCTGTCTCCTTTTTACTTCATCTTTGTTGTTTGCTGAAAATGTAATTGGTATTATATCTATGTGCAAATGTCTAGAAAAGTAGTGAAGCAAGTAGGTGTCGGTTTCCAGATTTTACAGTACAGCACGCTGTATCTC